TTCCACCACGCCTCAAGGTAAGGTTTGGGTTCTTTGGCTTGCTTTGCATGACCTGGAGTGAAAATGGCAATGTTTGGTGACAGGAGTTGTAGATTTCCTTGCAAGTTTTGATAGAAAGCAGGAGGGACTTGTAAGCTGGGATGTAGGTGTTGCTTCATAAGGGAAGAAATCCGGAGTGTGGCTCTTTGCTCCTGCGCGTTCCAGGTGCAGGGTGATGTGTAGTGCAGTTAGTGTGCCCTGTGGAGATGTCGTGCTGGGCTGCTTAAAGGACTTGGAAAATGAGAGCAGAGCTGGAGGAAAGCCCCCCGCTGCTTTACCTGCCTGCGCAGGCAGCAGTGTCGCAGGGATACCAGACCAACCCAGTGGCCGTGGGGATGCAGCTCTCCGCGGGGTTGTCTTACTGGGGTGCTCTGACTGGGGCCGGTGGGAGGTTTTACAGGGCTGTAGGGACCATGCTGGGTGGGAGGCGCAGCTCTGCAGCCTGTGGTCTCATGGTGCTTCCCATCTGCATTGCTGGCTCCCATCACAGCCACTGAGCTTGGCTGGGTGGTGGGTGGCATTATTGTGGGAACAGGGAGTTCGGAGGAGATTTCCCAGTCTTTAATGATGCTTAGACAGTCTGCAAGAACATGGCCAGGTACTTCAAATCACAAACTAAGGAAGTTCCTGCACAGGAGATGCCAGGAGGTGGCACGAGGACAAATCCTTGGCTTGTTTGATGATGTGCCAGGCTGAGCACCATGTGCCAGGACAGCAAGGCTCTATCAGTTGGAAGGGCTTTGTGGGGCCGAGTTACAGCCGGAGGCACGTGCAAATACTTTGCTCCCTGTTGCAGCCTCAGGGACTACAACCGACATGAGGACAGCGTTTCTGGTGTTGCTCCTCTGGGCCGTAGCCTGCGCTCACCCTGTAAGTACCCACCAGACAGGTACTCAAACCCCAAACCCCCGCAGTTTCGCCCAGCCAAGGCGCACCGATCGCTGATCAGATGTCTCCTGGATGTGTTTAGGTGCCTGGCCGCGAGCTCACCCACCCCAGCCACAGCACCCAGCAGGAGGTAAGCCAGGGGGTGCCCCAGTCCCGCAGGTCACAGCTGCTCACAGAGCAAGTCTGGGATGGGGAACCCAGTCCATCCTTGGACCAGGCACCTGGGAGAAAAGCTGCCACTTCTGCGGGTCTGCTCAGTCTTTTCAAGCTGCTTGGTTTCACCTCATTTCACCTTGCCTCCCTGTGCATGTTCCCAGTTCACTTGATGCGTTCTGCTGTGTTGGTCCTGAAAAAGGAGTTTCTGCACTCTAAACCATCACAGTTTGGGCTTTTCTGGGTTGCCCTTTTGTTGGTGGCTACTTTTTTTTTTTTTTTTTTTTTTTTTTTTTTTTTTTTTTTTGCAGTAGCAGAAACAACTGAAGGGCTAAGGTGCAAGCGATGAAAAAGGCTTGAGCACTTGCATGGCTTAGGAGCAATATATCATCCCATAGCCATAGCAGTAAATGTACAGTGGTGTGTAATAAACTAAAGCACCGTGTCATGTTTTGCCTCCAGGACACAGCAAGTGAAGATTACATCAACAAGCTGGGCAACCTGCTGGGTGGTGGAGATGGCAGATATCCTCCTGCCAGTGCAGAGTGGGGGGACAATGCCCTTGCCGGGGACCTGGCGGGTGGTAACGCCGTGGGTGAGGAGCTGGGCGAGCACAGTGGCCGAGACAAGGGAGGCAGAGTTGGGGAGGCTCAGCACCTGAACCAGGTGGACCACAAGGACACGAGTGCCCGGGATGGGAACAGCCTTGGTTTCCTGGTGAGTGAGTGGAGAGGGATATTTTGCTCTGCCAGGAAAACGTGCTTAGCCCCGAACCTGGTGTCAGTCAGGGTAGCGCTTGGCCTGCGCGGTGAGCAGTGCTGATAGTGCCTGTGACCTGCAAAGCCTTTGCATTCATCTCCATTTGTCAACTCCATAGGAGGAGGATGCACGCGATGCTGACGATGGTGACAACAGAGAGCACCACGGCACTGGAGTCAATGGGCTTCCCTTCCGTGACGGTGGGCTCCTGGATGAGGAGGATGACAGTGGGGACGACACCTTCGACGAGAACGGGGAAAAAGAGGAGGGTGAAGGTCCTACTTACGTGGCTGGTGCTGACGAGTCAGGCAAACACGGCTATGATGCTGGCCGTGGGGATGCCGGGGCTGGCAGAGGGCACGGCGACAGCAGTAGCAGTAGCAGCAGTGAGAGCATCGGGGTGGAGCACAGGCGGTACAGGAACTACTTTGGCAGCCGGTATGAGCGGACCTACAAGTGGGGAGGGGGCAGCAGCAGCAGCCAGGAGGAGGAGAGCTACAACTTTGAGGATGAAGCTATGCAGGGCGATGACCCCTCTGTCTTCGATGGCCCAGGCAGCAGCTACCAGGGGCACCGTGCTCGCCCCCGCACTGCGTGGAGCAGCCGAGAGAGCAGCCCAGGGGTTGGCTCCCACCACTGGGAGGAGGGCGACAGCAGATCCCCAGAGGTGGAGGACACTGACTCAGGAGAAGACAGCCCGTCCATGGAGGACAACAGTCAGTCAGAAGAGCCTGTCACCAGTCAGTCAGAGGAAAGCAGTGCCAGCCGCTCCAGGGAGGATGGGGAGGACAGCCCCTCCAGGGAGGGCGAGGACAGCAAGTCCAGGGAGGGCACTGCTGATCAGTCGGACGAAGAGCTAGGGGAGTCCCCGGAGGACAACTTCCAGGAGGTGGTGAGCACGTCAAGCGGGCGCAGTGGCAGTCAGTCCCAGGAAGAGCAAGAGGACCGGCAGTCTGCCGAGGACAGGAGTGCACCATCCGCACCTGACAGCGAGTCCGGAGAGGATGAGGGTGACCAGAGCAAGTCCAGGGAAGATGATGGCGACCAGAGCCAGTCCACAGAGGACACTGTGGAGGAGTCAAAGGAGGATGAAAATGACTCTGACCCTTATGGGGATGTGCCAAGCATGTCAGCCGAGAGCCAGAGCGCATCCCCAGAGGATGATGGCAGCCAAGAGGACAACGCTGGTGAGGACAGCAGGTCCACAGAGAGCAACAACAGCGAGTCCCAGGAGGACGATGACAATGAGGAGAGCCACTCCCAGGAGGAGGCCACCCGTGAGTCCAGCAGCC